CCAAAGTAATTCACACTCCTAGCTTCCGAAGCGGCCTTCTCGCTTTTAATGTCAAGTAACGCATTCTTACCTGGCCGGCGGCGATGTTAGAGCGGCTAGGGGATCGAATAGGTCTTTCTGGAAGCCAGGAGCGTGAATTATAGGTAAGACACTGCCTCCTTCCGATTTTCCTCCTGCTTTAGAGCCCTTTTCCGCCGTTTTCGCGCTCTACAGTGTGGATTTTCGAATTCACCACAGCGAATAGGCCGAGTAAGCAAAAAATCTCAAAATCGACTCATTGCCCGACACTGCCTTAAAGGTCGTTAAACCTAACCTATTCTTGTATTTTTACTGACTCGTGCCTGCCCCAATTCAAAGCTAAGTTAAAACCACAAAAAATTTTGATAAAGGATAGGCAATACAAGAGATCCATGTTGTCAGAAAAAAAGACAAGAACAAACACCAAAAATAAAGAAAAACGTTTCAAATAGAAACATACCTATTTATATTCCTACATGGTTTCAACAGAAGCGCGGGCGGTCGTCGTGCTAATGAAGATCCGCAATGACGTAACGATGCTGCCAGTCGCAATGACAACATCCAAATCTTAATGAGTTCAAACATGATAACCAACGGGGTTACATCAAAATTCCAGATATATAGTTCTCGCTAAACGATTCATATGTATACATTTCAACAAAGTTAAAATTTTACTTTTCAGAAAAGAAAAATTACGCACGATATGTACAAAACAGCTGTTCGGGATAATCAAGCTGGATGAACCAGACATTGATAAGAAAGTGCATATTGGTGGAAGATTCGATGCAGATAAACATAAGGACCCTTCGTGAGGTGGCAAGAACAAAAGTATCAAATACGAAAAATCTCTGTATACATATTACAAGCAATTTTACACGTATCATGGCGAAGATGCTGAGCAAAGCAGAATTGTAATTTGACGTTTACACTCAAAACTAAGCTATCGATCCGACAGACGACGATCACAGCTATCTCACAATCTCTATCACTATACTAGACTAGAAAAATGAACCTCGAACTGCAATTTCGTACTTCTGACCTCTGACTGCTAATAAAACATGAGAGGCACAGCGATCCACAACAGCTGAGTTGACTCATAGGACATGTTGCATCATTACATGCGCCGGCTTCCTCCAATAGTGACGTCAATAATTCAGCCGCCAATCAACGATTTCGTTGCCCATAAATGCTCGTACGAGAAATTGTCTAAATTGGCAAAATATAATCCAAAAAGTTAAGAAAAAGCAGAATGAAAAGTTAGGACACATTTTATACAAAAAAGGTAAGCAAATTGGGATAAGGAGCATTGTAAAAGCAAAAATCCGCTCAAACTCAAGAGGTAATGACGAAGAAAACTTGAACACTTTGATGACGCAAAAATGAGTGTCAAGGGGGCGCCCTAGTTATCAGCCGTTGGAAATGATCTTTGATGACTAACGTTCACCGCGTAAACAAAGAGATAGGCTGAGAAAGCGCGAATGCTTGTAAATTCGAATTCGAACGCTGAAATAGTTCCAAATACTATACGTAATCATACAGAAAAAAAATCAATTCTACCCTAATGAAACATTTGAGACAACAGATAACTTATGACAAACGAG